ATGGACAACTTAATGATAAAAATCAAAAATTCACTCCTTCCACTCCACTTCAAGAGGGGAACTACCACCGCTACGCCATGACGACACTCGTTTCCATGACTAAGAAGCACCACATTTCAACCACCACTACCTTCAAACTTTTATCGCTCGAAGATTTTCAAGAAATTCATTCAGCAGTCTTAACTTCTTATTGTTGGCACATTCGTAGACTGCGTTCCGAGCTCTAGAGACATACTTTTTTCTTGTAAAATTCATTCTCTTCCAAGGTGAACCAAAAAAAAATCCTCTAGAAGTCAACCAGAAGCACCCTCGCACTTGACTTCCATTCGGAATTGTAATGGGAAATGCAGGTGTGGCCCCTACAACAACAAACGATAGCCTCCGGAGGTTATTTTCTTTTTGAATCAATCATCATTCAAACTCAAAAGAATTTTCCAACAGAAACATTCCATCCAGTACGAAAACGGGGAGCAATAGAATAGTAGACCCGCGCAATGTTCTGTTATGTGGGCTAATCAGTGTCGATATGCTGCTAGTTCCTATCCCACGTTGTCACATAGTTTAGCACAACGGCTATAATTCTTATGATGGCTAGGACGGGCAGGATCTGACGAGATCATCCGATTATGTCTGACGGATAAAAACAAAGTGAAGGCATCAGTGCTCGTATAAAAATTTGCAAAAGTGCTCCGATGTTATTTACGGTGTCTACGTTCTGCATGATGATAAAGGTTTCCATGACAAATGAGAAGATAAGCTTCCCATTAAACTAGTACTGTTCATTGAGCCAACAGCCACTCCATCCAGAATCTTAAAAGTCACATCTCAAAATTACTACAAACCTACTCAGACTACGCTCTAGCCATCGGTTTTTTTTCCTTCGATAAAAAATGAGAGAGCCACATTGCGCACTTTTTTTGGTGAAACCTTAAAGTGATTCAGCTGATTAAATGATGGCCCCTTCGTCAGCCCGTCCCACTAGAATGCGCTAAACTGAAAATTCCCTATGATTATGAACCTATTAGTTCTGTTTTGATACAGCGCACTTGCAAATAGAGCCCTGCTCTACCCACACACTAGGAAAAACTATTTATAATGCATTTATAAGATTAGCACTGCTTCTGATCGCCCACTATTAGTCATGCCTTACTGAGCTTCTTTCTCTATTACTTATAAGTGCGCCCTGAAAAGAAACCTGTTGGGAAAGTCGCTTCTTCACTTATATGCTGTCCAATTTTCTCCAGCTCTGCCTTGATCGGTGAAGTTTCTCGACTTCTCAACCATATTAGCCGTAGTAGTGCATTTTTGTACATGACAATCAAAAATATAAGTCCACATAAATGAAAAACATCTGGATTACCTAGTGGGCACTATGACCATTTGCTGTCGAAGCAGCTGGTAAAGCGATTCTCTGAGTTTATATCAAGATCCATATTTCTACGCAACGGAACTTCAGATTTCCAGAAGTTTATAAAAAGTATGAATCTCTATACGGAAGCTGGAGGCCTTTTCGGCACACACGTTACTTGGAGTGACATTGAAGGAGACATGCAACGCGAACTGAACACCACTGCCTTTTTTGGACCAAATAAGTCGGCTAAAGATATAGGAGAAGGCAATGTAAGTTATAAAAATGTTTTCCGATTAAAATAATTAAAATGCTGTTCTAAATTAGAGGCAAGTTGTAAAACTTAGTATCGTTTGAAGAGATTTGAAATTCCAGTACATTCCAAGAAATACAATTGGCTAACACATCAATTACCTGATTAATTTCAAATTCACTTCAACGATATGACCATATGTTTTTATTCGATAGAACGGTGATTATATGAAAAGTATTGATTTTATAGTCTACCCCTCCTGATGGCCTACCACCTCATCGTTTGGCTAAGTGTGGAGAACGAAACTCTGAGTCCCATACATGTGTCACTTTTGGAGTTATCTAAGATCTTTGCAGTTTATTGGTGGGATAACTTTAACAGGTTGCTCCCTACGAATTCAAATGAGTTTCCAAATGCTACAACAACCATGTGTTTCTGCAGGAGTTGTCTGAAACCTCCAGAAGTATCTGAACTGGAGAATCGGATTCATTCCCTTGCAGCTTTTGGAATGCTTAGAAGCCCAAATGAAGAAATCTAGGCTTTTTGGGAACAAATTTTCTGATGTGGCTGATCTCTACAGCTTTTTATGTTTCAGGGATTCATGTCAAAAGTCCTACTTATTGAACCCGATTGGCAGCACAAAGACAAAGAAGTACCGGAAAAATTTGTGGCTAAGGTATGTTTGAAATTTAGAACTATTGATGATTTCAAAAGTCTATTCAATAGCTGTTCCTCAGTTGCATCACGTACAGCTCTCGACGAGATCTATGGAAAGAAATCAGCCCAGTTCCCATCTAATTACGTTACTTACGCATTGATTTTACTGGATTCCAGATAAAGGGCTGTTTACTAACTCTGATAGAAGAACTTCCACCGCATATGAGCGCTGTGACAAATTAGTACTTCATGTTATCATTTTTCTTTCACCGTATATGCAACATCACACACGAGGTTTCAGATTGTAACCCAGCTCGCTGTGCACAAACTTTCGGCAGAAGTTGCAGAGCAGAAGAATGTAAAGAATATATTCAACAATCCCGAATTTAGGGCTAGCCTGGAGAAACGTCAGAAAAAGGCAAGCACTTAAAAAATTTACATGATAACCCTCAGCTGTTGGTAGAGCTTCCTCCTTTTTGTTTTTTCTTTTTTTTTGACTTAAAAGCTTTCAAATTTTGATGGTTTCTGGATAGTTATTACTCACAGTAACATGCGCAATAAAAACAGTCGACAGTAACATGCGCAATAAAAAATGGTAGCAAAAAGTTCAAACAAAAAAGAACACTATCTATTTGTACGGATTGGTAACATTCCTGGGTTGAGCATGACGGAAAGGGAAGCAACCTTTTGACCAATATGCTCTAGTGGACTTTGCCGCCTAGGACTTTTAATAAAGGAGCATTCCGTTGACATAGTTTCAGGGTTACCGTAGGCTTATTCTATACTCGTAGGCACTGTTTTGTGAAAGAGTAATACAATCCCAAAGGCGCAGTCGATTTCAGTGTCACAATGCAGAAGTAACAGTCTACAATCATCTCCTCAAGCTTCCTAAAGGAAAAGCAGACATTCTAAAGGTTGGTTGTTGAATCCAATCCAGAAAATTATTAAGGTTGCAATGACTGTACACTTGTATAACGCTGGCGAAAAAGTACCTCGACAAGAACTCGAAGCGTTGAAAACTTCGAATAAACGCACGCAATACGAACACGATAGCGTTGATGAACTGCTAGAAAATCTCCCATGCGATCAACACATGAGTGGCAAGGGCATGCACCTGAGCTTTCGCAGTTTAACCATCAATGATTGTACCACACCGCATTGTAACACCATCTTTCATTACTAAGCACGCTGAAGGAAAATGCGAGTGTAGCAGCTAAAACTATCAGCAACCTATCCGCCTAAGGTACTGATCACCTACTAGCGGTTCAAGTCGGTTGAACCTCTTTACTGCAAGAGATACTAGCTTTCCCAGCCCCGCACCGCTTTCTTAGGCATCACTTTGTTGAAAGAAATCGTGAAACGTTGTAATCTGAAAATGCTGGCCAAGGAGTTCTCTTTGAATCATGATTTCCTGACTTCTGTACAGCAGTCATCAGTGATTTGCTCAAAGGATGCGAGAAGGCTGTTGATCACGATAACACATATACATATTTCCAATATTGCTTAATTTGGAAATTTCTAGGAATTCGGTTGAATTTCGTTTTGTCGAGATCTTTCTTGTCAAGCTATATACCATAAATATACAGCAGTCGTTTCGGTATTCAATTTTTTTCAGATTTATTACATGAGGAAGTTTACCGAATCTAATCCGCTGAAAGGATACATAATCATGGAGTATATCGAAAACATGGTCTCAGTACATATCTATGAAGTACTTACACCGGCTCAAGTGAAACAGGTACATATGCGACATAGTGAAGTTTTTTAGGTTGAAGGTTTCTACGTAGGTTTGGCAGGTCAACCGTAAAGACACTTTAACTGCGGCATTGAAGTATCCTGCTCATTTTTCGTCGCTCCTAAGTAATAAATCATTAATCAGATTCTTTCCTTATAATTTTCTTTGTAATTCCAAGATCCTCCGCAACAAAGCCGTTCTTGAAGCTGTGTCGTTGAATTTCACATCAGAGGAAAAAAGTCAGCTTACAACATCTCCATTCAAGGAATTTTATGCAGAATTCTTTTCAGCAGAGGTGAGCATCCATGTCATCTAGCAGCTCCTTTTATCACTGCGATGTCTGGCCTTCAATTTAGCTCTTTTATCTTATCGCCCATTTCTTTATTTGATCAATTGCAAACTGTCTAGATAATGGAAACGATGCTGACTGTTTTTCGAGAGTTTGAAGATGGTATATTTGAAGAAAAAGCCGTTCGTTTGGAGAAAATTCTCCCAGACTTGTGTGATGTGCCGAGAGCGGATTCACTTTCGGAAGAGTGTGGTGAGCTGTACGTTGTTAGCCGCTTATCCATTTTGAAGAACAGTAAGTGATTGTTTCAGCAGCCTTTAAAAGCACCGTAATCAAACGCCGTACTCCAAGTTTAGACCAATGCAGTATCCGCCTCATGAACTCGTGCCTAGCTCCGAGTAAAGGTCGAAATTGCAGTAGCATAAGTACAGGGTATCACCTACACCACCTGTTCCGCTGATCATTCATTTACTCGAGCGGGTGCTAGTAAATTCTTCACTCGTCCCTGTCGCGAATCACAGCGGTCCAGTAAGTCGTCTTCGCTCGAGAAGAGAATAATCACAAACAGTAGACAGACTGGGCGAACTTTGAAAATATCACCTGAATTCCTTTTCTTATACAGCAACACGGTTTTGCTAGTTTTCCACGACGTGGACACCTTGCATTTCGACCGACCACTCCGCAAAGGTTTCGACGGTAATAGGTGGACGGCCCGTAACATGTTCTTGTGTAACCCTGCCGGGATAAGGCGCTGTGGAAATCTTTAACAAAATGATGGCTTGTCTAACTTCGGAAGAGAGAACTGAGGAACAGCATACTCATCCTGCCCCAGATGGTGGGCAGGCAAATAGACGTGCCTGTCGAAGACGTACAGCGAGAACTCGTAGATGACGTTTACATTACCTTGATATGCAGTAATTTATCTGAAACAACAAAAAAGCCGTCTTGGTCTTGTAATTGACGAAGCCCGGCAAATACTGTGAATGCTCGTTTCCGTCTCGACTGCTTCGGCCAGAACCCTGGAGTTGCTGCTTCCCTCTCTTACTAATGTTCTTTACCGCCTTTCCACATAGATTCGCAGGCTCGGGCGTAAGCTGTTGATAGTCTGCAGCGCGACTATTCCATCTTGTCGCATAACCCCCAAAAGTATTCGAACATAAACGTCTTTTAGTGAATTGTGGACTATTTGCTTTAAAAGCACTATCGAGGAGATTTTCGACATGCCGATGGTATTCTTGGTCGACAGTGTCGATTACGGAAGATTCCGAAAAACTCGCAAGGGACGGAAAAGAAGCAAAGTGGTCCTAGTTGATAAATGTCTTGGGTCCTCGCTTCTTGAAATTCGAAGGTTTTTTCCATTCAATAAAGAACAGAATCTAGCGCAGAGGAGACGATGGCCCGATCCAGTGTAGTACTTCGGAAAAACAGCGACTTCAGTCAGTCGGAACGTTTAATTGAAAATAATGAGATCTTCTCAATCATGGAACTGTTCACCACGTTGCTCCCGTGTCCATCACAAATGAGAGGGCTTTTCGAACTGCAATTTATTATGGTGGGTCGGCATGATTAACTTGGGCAAACCTTCAAGTCTTTCAGCCTGCTCATTCCATTCCGTTGGTAGTTCTCAATGATAGCTCTTCAGCCAGGTAGCCAATGGCAGCCAACTTTAGTGATGAGATCACAAACAATGAGCTCGAATCAGGCACATATGCTCCTCACTATAGAGCTCTTCCAAATCAATATAAAATGGTTCCAGTCTCTCTTTTTTGTAGCCAGATATTCCACAGGCAACGAAGATTGTCAGAGCTAAGATTCAATCACATCTTCTCAATCGGAAACCTTTAACCTTGTCAAACCTTAAACGAATCGACGATTTTTAGGAGCGTACTGAAGAGGACACCTACACCGACCTGCTCTGCTGTCGCATGTTTCTATCATCGCTCCCACTCCATTTTCAAAAGCGGCACGCGGCTGGCGGTCGGCCAGTGCGAAGACGTGCTTGATATTCCTAGCTTGTACAATCAATTTTTCGATGCATGCTCCCGGTGCAAACGTTTCGGCTTTGATTTTCAAAGCGGTCTCGAGTCGCCTCCCTTATTAGTTCCCAGTCGCTCGAATGCAAGCTTTTGACGGAGCCGATGTGAAGGATACCAACCCCTTGGTTCTATTCCCTAGTTGTAAAAATTGTTATAACCTAAACGGTGTATTACAGTAGCTAAAGTTAATCTTTTCCAGCCTATCCATTCTACAGATCTGTACCCGGTTTTCCTCGTTGTAATTTTTCAAAATGATTATGTTCATAGCACAAGTAATATGAATTTTTAAGGGATGAATCGAGTTTTGTGCCATGGAGACTTGTGGTCTATGAATGCTATTTGGAGGAGGGAAGGGGATGTGCTTTTACTAGCTGCTCTCATAGACTATCAGGTTTGATATGAAATCAATAGGCTTCCCGTAGGACTGACGTTTTTCAAATTGAGAGGAATTTCTAGCTTTTTATGTAAATGTAAGGGATCTGGAAAAATGTGCACAACTCGAAAAGGGATCGCAAATGAGATGAAACAATTGTGCAATACTTTGATGGACGTTAGTCTGCAAGTTACGAACACGCAAGACCGCCCACTTCAGGAATCTGGCCACCTTCCCTATAGAGCCTTCAACCACTTTTTATCTCAGTCCCGCCCACCTTAAGAATATGGCCACATTTCCTCTATAGCCTCTAAGCACTTGCCTTCCACATTATAGAACGCTTTTGATTAGAATACTGAATTTATTCACGAAGGAACTAAATAATATTCAAATGCACTGTGGACGAAGAAACGACATGGTCCACATGTTGACCCATCCCTCACCTTTGTTCCTTTTTTTCCGGCGTTTGGGCTGTTATGAACTAATTCAGGCATTTTACCCAAGACACCTCCCTCTGAGCTCACATGTGCTCTGTTCTTCTTGTTCTATACCAGCCCATCCCAAACTTGATCCAACCCCTGCAGGCGCTTCTTCAGAAAATATC